CCTTTTGGCGGGTTTTTTTTTTCTTTTTTTAATGATAATGGGCCTCTGTGATCCGTCTGCTAATTGGGCCTATAAGCCCATTAATTATTTGGATCCAAAATGCAGAGTCAAGCCCACTAAATTGGCCCAATAATCAAAACTAAAATTTTAGCTTGACTCAATTTTCTTCAACATTTTTCTTCCATATTTATCCTTAAATTTTCTATATCACTTTGATAAAAATATATCATGTGGTAATGGGTAAACTTGTAAAATCACATCTAAATTGAATTTCAGTTAGATGAATTATTAACAAAAATGAAAATCTCACATAATCTCGACATTTGTAACATAGGTCAAGTTTGATCCGAGATTTAAACCTCTTAACATGTTAGTCAGATCTAGACCCTAATACGAAATGTTTTTTTTTTTCATTAATAAACAAAAAAAAATTATAAAATAATTCATAAATGTTTATATTTGTTCCACAAAAATTATTCCAATGTCCATAAAAGATAAAGTGGGTGAAAGACATTTGTTTGGGCACATGTGGTGATAATAATGGAGTGGAAAATTTGAATAATTTCACATTCCTCCTTATAATATGGACCACTATAATGGTTCATTGAACACCGCCATAAAATCCCCATTTTTTCCCCCATCAAATATGATGATAGCACTTTCACTTTCAAAAATAAAATAAAAATAAAATTTTATTATACCTTTGGCCCATAGATTTTTCTTTTCTTTTACCATAAATTTGTTTTTTTTACTTTGCTAAATTTAATTCTTAAAATTAAAATCCGAACATATAATTAATATTTTTAATATATTATATTATTACGCTTCTAAATATTTATTATAAATTGTTGAAATATATTAATATACTTTAAATAGAATTTTTACGTTCGAGTTCGAATCATAAGGTTTTGTACACCGCAGATGTACTTTTGAAGCTAAAATTGTTTGATGCTTTGAATTAAAGCCACCCTTTTCACATCCATGAAAGCTAACCAATATTTTTAAAAATATTTATTAAATAGTTAAATATTATTTTAAAAAATGGTCAAATAATAAATAATATAAAAAATTAAAATTAATATTATCAATTCCTCTCTCCTGAATTTATTATTTATTTAATTTAATTTATTATCTCTCACTTCATTTACTGTATTTCCTCCTATTTCACTGACTGATTTGACCTCCACGTGGCAGGTGATTAAATTAGTAGATTGGGAGTGTTAATTGATGTAGTCGCCGGCGCCGGCTTTTGTATTAAAATAAAAGTTGGTGAAACAAAAGATATCCAGCTCAAAGACAGCGCCGTTCTCATCACGTCTCACTCCATATCCCCACATCCAAACACCTGTAAACCCTACATTCTATTATACAAACTATTTTTTAAATAAATTTTAAAATTACAATATTTAAAAATTATTCAAACAGTTTCTCCTCCGAATTAGGTTAAAGATGGACGACCCAGATTGAACGAGGATATCCAGAGGCAAGAGCACGCATGGTGCATTGAACGAGCTGGTTCTTCTATATGATGTCGTTTTTGTATTAATTTTGTTTTTGTTGTAGGTCCACATTTACGGGTACACGTCGATTATTGTCATAAAAGTCGAGAACAATTAATAAAAAATAATTGAGAAAATATAAAATAAAAAAGAAGTGGAAAAGGAGAGTGAGGGGTTTTGTTTGTCATGCATTATTAGGGCACACGGAAGGCTCCCTTGAGAATAAGGGGACAGAAGAAAGGCAAGCAACTACCAAAACCAATCAAAAGGACGAAGGTAGAAAGTAAAATCATGGGAAATCCCTTCAATAATTTATTTTCTTTTTGTCGTTTTCAATGGCTTTTACCTTTTTTTTTTTTTTTAATTAATAAATCTAAAATAAAATAATTAATAATTTATGAAAAAAAAATTAAATAGTTTAAAAAAGAGAGTACAATACGTGTACTATGAATATATATTTGAAATAATAATAATAAGAAATAAGACGTAATTATATAGAAAAACAAGATTTCCTTTACTATATGATGTATGAGACGTACTAATTATGTGAGGTCCCACAAAAAAGAATCATTTCTGTTTTTATTTCTTTTTTCAGCCCACTCCCTACTAAAATTGCTAAAGTATCCCTAATATTTTAGAGAAATTCCAATTATGTCCTTAATATTTAAATTTTAAAATAAATAAATAATTTATTGGAGTTTATTTTTTTTTAATTTACTACTAAAATTAATTACAACGCAGGGGAAATAGGCAAATAAATAAAAAATAAATAAAAAGTCAAATTATGAATATAGTTTTAGATAATTTCAAATTTCCTGATTTATATAAAAAAAAACTAAAATTTATTTATTGGTTGACTTTTTACAAAATATTTTATTTTTAGAGTTAAATTAAAAATTATATAATTTAAAAAAAAATATTGAAGAAAAAAAATTGTAATTTAAATAAATAAATAAAAAAAGCAATAAAAAATAAAATGTAAAAGGAGAAAAAAGGGCGGGGGTACGTGGCAGTTAATAAGCAGTAGAAGTCAAATCGGTCGCTGCGCTGATCGTCCTTGTTTACTGCTGCATTAGCTGTGTAGTGGGCCCCACCACTCACCACCATCCGTACCATAATCATCTTCTTCTTCTTCTTTCCTTCTCATTTTCCCGTTTGCTTATTTATTTTCTTCCCTGAAAGAAACCAAGGAACCAGGAAACAAAATCGTCCCTGTTTTTTTTTCTTTCCCATTTTCTCCCTGAACTTAAATGCTCTTACAATGGTCGGTTTAAGCGTGATTCTGGAATCCAACCAGGGAGATTTTTGTAATAAATCATCCCAGGTTATCAGTAAAGCCTCCGTTATGAACCTCACCGTCAACTCCTCTTCTCGCAACCCTAATTCCTGCCTCCAGACGACGTCGCTTCGCCTCCATTCCTGCTATCTCTGTAATCAGAAGCTCTTGCCTGGGAAGGACATCTATATGTACAAGTAACTCTCTCTCTCTCTCTCTCTCTCGCTCTCTCTCTCTATATATATATATATATATTTATATTTGTATTTGTCTGATGATATTGTTGGGATTTAGGGGAGATAGGGGATTTTGCAGCGTGGAGTGTAGGTGCAGGCAGATTTTAATGGACGAAAAAGAGAGTATAATGAAGGAAAATTCATCGTCGAGTCGTTAAACGGCGTCGCTTTCGAGTTCGGAATCTGGTTCTTCTTCTTCGTCGACTTCAATGGCGGCTTCTCGTGACCGTAAATCCACGAGGAATCGGAGAGGAGAATTTGCGTATTGAGAGGGGAACAAGAACAAGAGAGAAATGAGTAGCGAAATTACGGAGTTACCCTTTTGTAATATAGTAAATGACGTTTTTGTCCTTGTGAGTTTTTTTTTTTTTTTTCTTTCTTCTTTTTGGTGTGCTCCCTAAAAGAGAAGCCATTAATCCATGAATGAAATGGTGAGCTCCCGCATTTTGGCTACTTCCTTGTCGGACAGTTTTTGGCGTTTTCTTTACCTCTCACGAGCCGTAAAAATGGTCAAATTATGTATACCTACAAGTAAAGGATATTTGATACCTTTCCAAAAAGTTCAACCGTTCTTTTTTTTATAATTATTATTTAAATAAATTATTTTATGGATCGAATTAATTTGATAAATTATTCAATTAAATAAATTAATTACAACTAAATAATATATATTTTTTAAGAGATGGGCATTTTTTAATTTCTTATTTTTATTATTAAAAATAAATAAATTATATAAGTGGATTAAATACTATGTTGACAAATATACCGTTGTCTTTGGTTAAATTTAATATTTTTAGCTTAATCTTATACTAAATCTTGACCGTTGGATATAAGTTCTTATTTTCTTTCACCCCTCATCTTTGTTCTATACGCTACATATTTGAAATATTCAATTTAGTAAATTATATTTTAATTTGCAGATAAGTAATATTTTGTGGTTGACTCAAGAAAATAAAATAAAAGAAAATATTTTGTAGCTGCCTTGGGGAAGAAGATTATTTTGGGAGACGAGTATAATAATTAGCTCAAATAAAGAAGTGGATACTATATTAAGTAATTTAGATTATCTTATTTCCAGGCCATATCTTTATTTATGATTATTACCTAAAAAAAGCCAAAGAAGATCGCATCTTTTGAAATCTCGGTTTTATAATAAGAGATAAACACAATTTTTTTTTTTTTAAATGTCTGTGAGTTCATTAATTAATTAATTTATTATTCGTAGGGAATGTTCTAGATTGCGCACGGAAAGGAAAAGGAACAGGCACAGATAGGGAAAGTACTTTAGGGAACAGCGAAAATTTTGAGAGTGAAAACTTGCTCTCGTAGGGCCGCCCAAATGTCCAAAGAAGTGCTGCTGGTTCTCCACCACATGTTTCAATCTTTTTACCATTTTTTATTACTTTCAAATTATATTTTAAAGGATACTTTTTATTTTTTATTTTAATTTTTACTAAAAAAATATAAAACATCCTAATAACTCAAATAATATTCATAATATAATATTATACCAATGTAATTTCTTAAAATTCAAATTTCAATTACAACATAAGCAACACACCTCAAGTAATCATATATATATTAAAATAGAAATATTTTCTCAGAAATGAATATAAAATTATTTAGATTCACATCTAGTAGCTTAAATTCTTAGTGTGCAGGTGATTTTTTTGCATAAAATAATCAAACCAAGTCAAAATAAAAAAAACAAAAAAAAAAAACCAAGATTTAAACAAAATTAGCAACTAGCCAAGGACCAATGATTCAAATTATTACAGAAGTAAAATTAGAAAAGTGAAATGCAACATGTGTAAGCTCCTAATAATGGAGAAGTGCTTCAAATGCAATCAAGGAGGAGGAAAAAGAAAGCTACTTTTGAACACAATGATTTTGAACAACAGAATGCTACAAACAAGCTGATTATGTCTACTTTAAAGGCTAAAGTGGTTTGAACAAAAATCATTAGTTATGGAAAAAGAAGAAGAAGACTGTCTTGTCCACAAGGAAATCATCATTTGATTAAAACGCGATGATCGTAATCAGTTAATAACATTCTTTAATCTGCATAATATACATGTTTATCAACCTGATTTGAATAGTAAAACTGCTTTCTGATCCAAGTAGAAGTAAACAAAGTGGTTTGTCTCGTGTGTCACATATGAACCTGCCATCCAAACAACAGAAGTTTAATATTCAGGACCATAGTTACAATTTACAAGAAAACTCCATTTTTAAAACCCCAATCAACATAAGGGGTGAATTGATATTTTCATTATGCTGAACAAAATCAATTAAATATTAAAGAACTAGCGTTATAACGTAGCCTAACGTGAATATAATATTATAACAAGCATTGCAACTCATTTATAAAGGGTAAAATGTCTACTTATTAGTTTGAATATCTTCTTTTCGAAGCTTTTGTTTTTAAGATTTTTTCAATGATCCATTGACATCGACATTCTAAATCTCGGTCATATTATTCATTTTAATGGTCACGACTTATCGTTAGCTTTCCATCAACTTAATGCTAAGATTATCTTGCTTCACAAAGATCACAAGATAAACTAATATCGAAAGAGATCTCCAATTTTGAATCTCTCAAAGGACCAACTTATGTCACACCATTCATTTCAACGACCATAGCTCATAATTTGTCTTTTGCTATGTATTTCTTGAAAAATATAAAGAAATTTATATGGAGCCATCTCGTGGTTCCATTTGCTAGAAAAGAGAATGGACAATCTGTAAATCGACTAAATTGAAAAAAAGGCAGATTTGAAAGAAAGGGGAATGTATAATAGATAACATGGCATAATGGGAAGACGCTGGAATGTTTTAGAATCTCCTTACTGCTATGACTAAAACGACACCTCACACCATTTCTCCATTATCCTCGACATGGACAAGTCTGATGACTTCTCAAATCCTTGTATGGGTTAAATAAAATGCACGAACAGGATTTGGAATATTTAGCTAGAAGTTCTGAAACATGAAATGAAGAAGAGTAAGTCTAATGGTTTGAGGATCGTATTAATCAACTAGCTATACATGTTGAAAACATTTTCATTGACACTGACCACTCGGGAGGTCTCTAGAAATATGAAGAAATCCTCTGTTTTTTCTTGTTGAATGATTTGGGATGTCTAATCTGTCCCTGGGTTCTAAATATGGTTTGGTGGCAAGAACTGAAAGCAACTTTTAAGAACTTTGAGACCTTGACAAAATTATTGAAGTAAAAAAGGAAATAAATGTGCTACGCGAACTTCACTAAATTATGGAGGTCAGAGTAGACTGTCTTACTCCATGGGACAGAAAGGGACCCTTTTCCACTATGCTGCTTGACCGTCATTGATTAGGTTGGCAACTCAAAACCGAAAACAAAGACTTTGACAGAAACATTAATGCAACCAACCCATAAGAACCAGCTTAAAGTGTTAAGATGTTCTTACGTTCAAGAGGGACAACTTCTAGACGTGCCAAATAGTTTTGGTTTCTTTTTTATATCTTTTGATCCACCTATTTCCAACTCGACTAATCTAACAGGACAACTATCTCAGGGAACCAACCACCTTCATGAAACTAATAGTGATCGCCTCGAAGAGACAACAGATCAGTTCATAGTAATTCTGAGTCCAAATTTCATGAAAAAAACTAAGGTCCGAGGATAAAAGGCAAGGGAATGGGAAAATTGAGAAGAAACATTGTCATGGACCCTGGAAAGTTATTTACAATTCTAAACCAGCTCAATTCAATGAAATACAATGGAAGAACATCGTTTTTATCAAATGCAGATGAATAAATTGAAGATCCACAATCTAGGAATAGCACTCCTTTTTCTACTAAACTAGTTTAACCAGAACAGACATTTTTAATAAGAAATCTACAGGCTTAGATCTATTCCAATCAGATTTTAAAACTTCGCTAGCCAGCAGACTTAGAACCGGAAGGAAGCTTGTCAAGCAGCAAAATCACGAAAAAAATAAGCTAGAGATTAGAAAAATAGAGAGATCAGTTACCGAAATTACGACCAACAATGCAATGCCAGGTCGGTCCATGCCTCTTATCGAACTCTTTCTTAATATACTCCGCTACATCTTTCTCTACACTATGCTTTTCAAATGCCTGTACCAAAATCCCGAATAAACTGAGGATCATAAGAAAGAACAGCAGTTCAAAAATGAAATTCGTACTCGAAATTTGAACAATAGCAATCGAGAAAAGAGAGCTAACAACTATGGCGACATCAACAGCCTCCTTCTGCACATCACCAAACATATCGGCACTCTTAATGACGATTTTCTTGCCTGTAGTCGCCACCGCCATCGGTTTCCGATCTTCCGAAACAGTTTTCACCATTTGATTTCCTTGAATGCTTCTCTTCGCATCGTTGCTCATTTTCTCCGCTTCTTCTCCTATCTTCGTCGATTCGGTAGGTGGATGCTACAATAAGAGGAGCTTATACACAATCTCTGCAACCTTTTCGTTTCGAAATTTGGAATTACTTTATACTTCGACTGGTAATCGTAATTTCTCAGAATCTGAGAGGACAAAAGATTTTTAACTCTTTCTGGAATTTATTGCAGCTTTTGCAATCTGTCCGAATGAAGCCGTCGGTGAAATCAGTTCTCCAGTACAGTTGCCAAATACGCCGTCGTTTCGCCTCTTCGAAGAGTTAATTCAGCGTTAGAACGACCGCCCTTTCTAGTCTACCCTTCGTTTTGCCTCCAAAAAAAAAAAAAAAAAAAAAAAAAAAAAAANTACCCTTCGTTTTGCCTCCAAAAAAAAAAAAAAAGAAAAGAAATAATAAATATTAAATTGCATTTTTAGTTCATCAAATTATTTATTTTTTTGTACATTCATAGAATTAAGTATTAAGATGAAATTATAATTAAAAATGAAAAAAAAACAAATATAAATTTAAATATAATATGCACAATTTTTTTTTAGATAATTCCAATTTTTTTTTATTGATTATAAATATTGAATTATTGACAAATTAAAATGTCCCTTTTTTTTGGTTATCCATATCTAAATGTTTCCGCATTTCAATACCAATCTCTTACGACTTCCAAGAAAAAAGAATTAAAAAAATATTTTAATACCTCACTACATCCAATCAGAAGAAGACAGCACAGCGTCTGAAATTAAAAAAAAATTAAATCAACGGATTTGCTGGCTTATCCACCTGCCAACAACTTGATGACGTGGCTGCTCTATTTTATTTCCTACTTTATTATTTGGAAATTATTAATATTATTTAATTTCATTAAGACTTAGTTTCTCGTTGGGTAATTATTGTTGATATTTGAAAGAAGAGAAGGAAGAGAAATAATATTTTTAAATTAAAAATTAATAAATATAATAAAAGGGTAAAATATTATTAAATGCAAACCTCAAAATTAATTAATATTTGCCATTTCGCGGGTTGATAATCGAGTTTCCGTTCCGTGTTCGACTCTACGAACGCTATTTCAGATTCAAAAGCGAAGCGACTTTCTTCTGAATCTGAGAGTTAATCCTGCGAATTTTTCATAATTTGTTGGAGAACGAAGCTCCAATCTGAGTTTTAGGAGATTGTATTGCTTTCTTCGCTGAGAAATGGGAAGCCAAGCGAAGGGAAGAACTACTTTGGAGGTTGGAGCTGATGGAATCGCTCTAATCACCATCATTAATCCTCCCGTCAACTCACTTTCTTTCGATGGTATGATTTTGTGTTCTTTTACTTCCTTTTATGGCGTGTGATTTTACTGGATTCATCTATTTTGATCTTTGGTATGATGGCTACCTTATTCTGATTCTTTTTTTCTCTTTTGTGTGAAGACTTTTGTTTTTTTTATAGATTTCGTAGTTTTAACATTTGTAAATGAATCAATTAAGGAAACTATCGAAGTTTCTGTAGTAAATGAAGAGCTGCGTATACTGTGATTATCTCCTAATTTTAATTACAGTTCAATTAGTGACTGTTTGTTAATTGCTGATTCGATTTGGTTCACTGACTTCAAAGTTCTAATGTAACAATGGAGGCCTGGGGCTGTAGGTTTTAACACTGTAGTTATCTGTGTGTGGGCGTTGTACTAATTGAGCTGGGGTTTTTGCTGTGTATGAAAAACAACTGGAAAGGATTTGCGGTTAGTTGTAATTGATTGCGTTCAATTGCTGCAAATATGAAATATAGCGCACTGGATTTCACCCGGCCATGATAATTTTTTATTTGGAGACTCATTCTAATTGTTGGGAAATTGTATACTGAGATCTGGCTCTTGGGTGTTGTTTTTCTGAATAGAATTATTTAACTATTCATTTGTACTAAGAGTATTATTCATGTTTCTTTGTTCCGCACCTGTTCACACACGAATATAGTATTGTTCAGCTTGAAAGAGAGTTACGAACAGGCTTTACAAAGAGAAGATGTTAAGGCAATTGTTCTTACAGGTCAGCGTGTGAAATGATTTTTATTGATGAGTTATGAAAGATATTAGAGATGTAAGAGCTAACTCTGTGTGTCAATGGAGCAGGTGCCAGGGGAAAGTTCTCTGGTGGCTTTGATATAACAGCCTTTGGTGGACTGCAAGGTGGAAAAGGTGGGTTCTGATTTCTCTGTGCCCCATTGTCTCATAATTTACTCTGAAAACTTTTGTTGACATCTTTTAAATGGATTTTTAGCGAGGGAACCACGGCCTGGCTACATTTCCGTGGATGTGATCACCGACATTTTTGAAGGTATATTTCCACTCAGTTGCTTTAATCTTTGCTCGCATCCTCTAACTCTTGTGGAGAGCGTGAGAGAGATGGTTTAGATGAGTATTTAATTGTTAGCTATGTTTTTCAGCTGCTAGAAAGCCTGCCGTTGCTGCAATTGACGGACTTGCTTTGGGTGGAGGGTTAGAGGTTGCAATGGTATGTCTTGCTACCTCTCTTAGACTATTAAATCTTGTAATTTTTTCGTTTTAAGATCTTTTCTTCAATTTTGATTTGAAGGCATGCCATGCACGAGTATCAACCAAAACGGCGTTGTTAGGATTACCTGAACTTCAGCTTGGCCTAATTCCTGGTTTTGGAGGTATGTCTGTGTCACTGTTTCTTGGTGGTTGTTTTTATTTCTACTAATTGATTCTGTAGGCCACTTTCATGCATGTTCTCTCAACTGATCTTTACTTGAAGCTGTGGACAATTGTGATTTTACCAGTCCGCTTCCTCCTACTTACATTGAAAATGAAGGATAACAGATGGCAGTTTGAGTTAGTCTGTTGGGTTCTGTATGGATTGAGTATTTGGATCTTGGGATTTTAATGAGATAGCATTTAATGTACAATTTTTAATGGATGGATAGTATACGTGTTATACATACCTAATATTTTCATTGGCTGCAAAGAATTTGTTTATTTTATCAAGAGGAGCCAACTTCGCCGAAACCTGCTCCTATGATTTTCTTTTTCACTTTTTCAAGCTTCTGTATTGATCAGGAACACAGCGGCTTCCTCGTCTTGTTGGTCTTTCAAAGGCTTTAGAAATGATGCTGGTGAGATTAGTAGCTCATGCTTTGGATTTTTTATACGTTACTGTGGAAATAAATATTTCATTAGCCATACATATTCCTGCTAATTTCTCTACCTGTCACTCTCTGTACGTCCATACTTGCTCTGCTTAAATAGACATCCAAGCCAGTCAAAGGAGAGGAGGCTTTTTCTCTGGGACTTGTGGATGCCATAGTCCCTTCTGAAGAGTTGATCAGCACTGCCCGCAAATTGGCTCTGGATATCTCAGAGCGGAGAAAACCATGGATTATCAGTCTTCACCGAACTGACAAGTTAGAGTCTCTTGGTGATGCTAGGGAAATATTTAAGTTTGCTCGGGCTCAGATACGGAAACAGGCTCCAAATCTCACGCATCCACTGGTTTGCATTGATGTTGTTGAAACCGGTGTAGTGTCAGGTCCTCGAGCTGGACTTTGGAAGGTTTCTATATTTCTAATGTAGTTATTTCCCTTTTTATTATTTTTAAAAAATAACAACATAACCTTCCTGAGTTATTTTTGATGCTTATGGCAGGAGATTGAAGATTTTCAAGTACTTCTGCATGCTGATACCAGTAAAAGCTTGATTAATATATTTTTTGCTCAGCGAGGAACAACGAAGGTTTGAGATGAAGAATTACTGCAAATTAAATGGTTGCTTAAGATCATCTTTACTACAGGATTGATAAAAACACACCCCTTGTTAATATGTTATGAGGATAGTCATTCGCTTACTTGTTGATATTGCTTCCTTTTAAAAAAATATAACAGGTACCAGGAGTTACTGATCTTGGGTTAAAGCCAAGACGTATTAAAAAAGTTGCTGTTGTTGGTGGTGGATTGATGGGATCTGGGATAGCTACAGCATTGGTTCTTAGCAACTATCCTGTGATTCTCAAAGAAGTAAACGATAAATTTTTGAAGGCTGGTCTTGACAGAGTCAGAGGTAAGCCTGGAATTTACTACTAATGATTGCATTTTTCAAATATTCTTATTCTATTCATTTATGGCTTGCCATGTTAACATGTTAGCTAATCTACAAAGCCAACTCCGCAAGGGCAAAATGACTCCAGAAAAATTTGAAAAAACTATTTCCCTACTCCATGGTGCCCTTGACTATGAAAGTTTCAAAGATGTTGATATGGTGATTGAGGTAATTCACGTCTTTCTTCTACACACACGAAAAGTAGCAATCATTAATATCAATTTGGTTGTGTTTGTAACAGGCTGTTATAGAAAACGTGTCTCTGAAGCAACAGATTTTTGTTGATCTAGAGAAATATTGCCCACCACATTGCATACTTGCTACCAATACGTCCACAATAGATTTGGAGCTGATTGGAGAGAGAACAAAATCTCATGATAGAATTGTCGGAGCTCATTTTTTTAGGTTTGTGAATTCGTATTTATCCTCATTCCTCTATTTGTCTTGGCTTAGCCACTTGGGCATTGAGTTTGTGCTTCTGATGCAGTCCTGCACATGTCATGCCACTATTGGAAGTTGTTCGTACAAAAAGGACTGCTCCACAAGTAATTGTTGATTTGATAGATGTTGGAAAAAAGATAAAGAAAACACCAGTTGTCGTTGGCAATTGCACTGGTTTTGCTGTCAATAGGATGTTTTTCCCATACACTCAAGCTGCACTGTTACTTGTAGAACATGGAGTAGACCCATATCAGATCGACAGGGCAGTTTCCAAGTTTGGAATGCCGATGGGCCCCTTCAGGTTTATAATACATAAAAGAAATTTGTGGTTCCGCTCCATGCTTTTTCTTTTTCGACCTTCAACTTACTTCGGTTATTTTCCTTCAGATTGATTGATCTTGTTGGTTTTGGCGTGGCTATAGCAACCGGTGGTCAGTTTGTTCAGAATTTTCCTGATAGAACCTTCAAATCTATGATAATTCCTCTTATGCAAGAGGATAAGAGAGCGGGTAGAGTTTCACCCCTCAAACTAGGGCGTTTGCATGCCTTATTTTTTCTGTCTTTCCACTTGGAAATATAGCTAGGGTGCCAAAGAACCCTACAGTCACTGTTCAGTCTACTCGAGAGTATTGGAGAGGGCGAATGACTCGGCAAAACCTCTCATGAAAATTGTCAGAGTTTTTTCCCCTTTCCAGT